GCTCTGGGAGTAAGAAGAAGAAGAAGAAATATTCTTACTATGACATTTTGACTTTCTTAGACAGTACAACGGAAACTGCTGGAGAAGAGTCACTCTGTGAAGAAATGTCTGAACAAAGTAATTTAGAAACACCTAATGAGTCCACGCAACCAGATACTTCACGTCAAGAAAGTTCTCACCCAACATCAAAACAAAAACAAGTAAAATCTAAAAAGCAAGCACCATCTGAATTTGAGGCACAGTTATTAGAATGCTTAAAGTCTAATCAACTGGAGCTAGAAAGTGAGGATTTGGCTTTCTTTCAGTCTCTGCAGCCTTCATTAAAAAGATTCACTAGATATCAAAAACTAATGTTCAGAACAAAAGTGTTAAATATAGTTATGGAAATGGAAAGTCAAACACAACCTGCATACTACAGTCCCATACCTACAACAAGTTCTAGTGCTTTTACTGAGCTTGACAGTTTGTCACCGATAAATCAAGATTACCAAACCAATAGTATAATCCAGGATACTTCGAGTCTTAACGACAATGCTATTAGTTCTGCTGCAGTGAATGACAATTAAACTCTTATTTCGACTGAAAGCGGCCTGTTTAATATCACGTCTTATGACGTAATTTATACCCCAGCAACAACATCATCTACAGGCGAAAGTAATGTCAACGCTCAGGATACAAATTTACAAAGAAATGAATGATGTAAAATTTGATTTTTTAATTTATGAATAAAACTCTTTTTTATTAAAATGAGTACGATTAACTTTTTTTCTCCAGTTTCTCTCTAATTGTTTGTTTAGTCATATGAGTGCGGTTGTACACACGGCACAGATCAAGTTACTCAAATCCAGTATAAGCGGGACTCCGACGGGTTACCTAAGTATGATAATACGCAAGGCGCGAGTTCCATTTATGCTGGTTTTGGGTAACTTGATCTGTGGCCATGTGTACTTTATCAGATAAAAAAAAGGATTGTGTATGTAGGTTGAACGTACCAATCCCAAACCAATTAAGGACTTTTTTTGACTTTAAATTACTGTCATGTGCAAACCTATAACTTTTATCTATATTATAATAAGTAGCGTGTGATGAAAGGTAGGAATGATTCCACTTTAATGGCGACATTTTATGAGTGAAATAATCTTATTTAATGAAATTTCAACATGAAATTGAATGAAATTATGAACAATGAAATTTCAGAGTACATGACAAAATTTTTTTTTGCACATGTAAATTTACACATGACAGTAATTTGAAGTCAAAAAACGTTTATCCTACCTGTTCAAATCCCTTTCCACTAAATCATAGCAGGAAATTAAATATTTAAAATTTAAAACTTACCTTAATGTAATAGCGAGCCTCTCAATCGGTTGTATTGTAATCCTTCGTAAACTGCTTTTTTGTAGCTTATTCTCAATTTTACACAACAGTTCATCAAAAGAACGAATGGACATTCGAAAGTAATTTTTAAATTTACGTTCATTATTTTGTAGTTTTCCAAAGCGTGTAACAAACGCCCCAGCAAGAAGCCTATTTTCAAGAAAGGGATCAACATGTACTCTTGTCTTCTTGTTTCGTCGTTTGTAAAGTATGTAAGCGACACATATTCTTCTGACATTGATCATTTTTGAACACGTCTATACCGTTACGCAGCCCGTAGAAAACTGAAACTCATGCTGCGTATGATCCGCAGCGTGAAATTTTACGCATGCGGTCCAATCCCGCGTGCGTGAGCAAATCCGCGTGACACTAAAAGCGCCCAAACCGGATTCTTTTTACATAAGCTCTAGGATATTGTACATAACCATATAAGTATACGTAGGTTGTCACTACGCACAGGTATAGTCAGTTTTTGCGAATGCGATCTTAATATAAGCAGAATGAATGCAGTTAAGAGGGCAACACTACAACACTAGACAGAGAGAGGGAAGCGACTATTAATGTTAGTGACGTATTAACAGTCTGTACGAAGTTACTGTTCGAAGAAGAAGATTTATACGTGGTAGGGCTACGCTGCAGCTATGCAATGGTCGAAGGTCCTCACCGAGGACCACACTCTCACAGAATACCAGCGTGAAATAGCAGCTTAATGTTACTGTGTTTCGTATAATGAGTCTACAGAACCGTAGAACCCTTTTACTGGAATCGAGGCATTTTATTTCATTCTCAGAGGTGACAACGCATCTGTATATTGATTTTAATCGAGGATAAATGTAGATGTCAATAGGCCACAGCGTCCATCTACCATCAGGTGGATTGTGAGCTCGTTTGTCACCATCATTCTATAAAAATAAGATGAAGGAGTGTTCAAGCCCGATTGAGAACGTGGTCTCTCTTACATACGACCAACTAAAATATCAATAATAATAATGTGAAGAATCAACGCTCTGGGAAGTCTACAGTCTGTGAACAGGTACGGGATCGCCCCCGTCACTACATCATATCTGATAGACCACAAATGTTCGCTAAAGAACACCTATTCCTTCCAAGCATGATTCGCGAGGCTATTGAAATAAATAAAAATCCTAATTTCAATAGATAAGATGGCTGGGTGCTACCATCTGATTGGGATCCTATAATTAATAAAATTAAATCCCAACCCAAGCACACAACTGCAAGACTTCAAGATACTGTAAGTTCATACGGTGTAGATAGGAACGAAAATTAATAATTTTAATCTGAAGGTAGCCGTGGTTAACTATGACATTGGGACGTCGAACACCTCAGTCTTCACTCCCTGACCATGGGTGTTGTAAAGTACTCGAAACGTCGGGAAAAAAAAGTTAGCGATAGAAGCCGTAAAAGCAAGTTTGATTTTTTTATTTAAAAAAAAAAAGAATAAATACTATTCACTAACAAGAAAGGAATGGAAGAGATGTTTCACATGTAAAATGTATAAAAGATGATTCTGGAAGGATTTTGACTGACGATGAAAGTATAAAGAAGCGATGGAAGGAGTATTTTGAGAAATTGATGAATGAGGAGAATGAATGGAATGGTATGCTTGAAAACCCACCAGTGAATATGGGCTTAGTGAGAGAAATTAGTGTGGAAGAAGTAAAAATGGCTGTTAGGAATATGAAGAATGGGAAGGCGGTCGGCCCAGATGGAATACCAGTAGAAGTGTGGAAGTTGCTGAGTGCGGATGGATGGAAGTGGTTGAGTTTATTTTTCGGTAAATTGTTGCAGGAAGAACAAATACCTGAGGAATGGTGCAGTAGTATACTGGTCCCCATTTTTAAAAACAAAGGAGACGTTCAAAACTGCAGCAGTTACCGGGGAATAAAACTCATGTCACATACGATGAAAGTCTGGGAAAGAATAATAGAGAAAAGAATGAGAGAAGAGTGTGAGATAACACAAAACCAGTTCGGATTCATGCCCGGTCGAGGTACGACAGATGCCATTTTCGCATTACGCCAATTGTGCGAAAAGTACAAGCGCGTGCATAAAAATCTGCACATGGTTTTTGTCGACCTTGAAAAGGCGTACGATCGGGTTCCCCGTGAGGTTTTGTGGTGGGCGTTAAAGATGAAAGGTATGCCTGGGAAGTATGTGAGGTTAGTCCGTGCTATGTACAGAGCATCCCGTACATGTGTACGATCTGCCGCGGGAACTACGGGCAGTATCGATGTGGCGGTAGGGCTGCACCAAGGGTCGGCATTGAGCCCTTACCTCTTCCTACTGATTATGGACGCTTTGACGTCGGACCTGCAGGATGAGGCACCCTGGTGCATGCTCTTTGCCGATGACATCGTGCTTGTCGGGGAAGAAGGCATCGAGGTACAGAGCAGACTGACGGGGTGGCAACAGAGGCTGGAAAGTGTTGGCTTGAAGATCAGCAGATCCAAAACCGAATATCTGTGCTGTGATTTCGGCGGTCTTTCCAGTCCTGTACCCATGTCGTTGGATGGCGCTATACTGCCTACCTGCTCAGAATTCAAGTACCTCGGTTCCCTCATTCAAGGCGACGGCGGAATAGATAGAGCTGTGCAGCATAGGATTAACGCAGGGTGGATGAAATGGCGACAGGTCACAGCCACAACGTGCGATCCCCGAATGCCAATAAGGCTGAAGGGGAAAATTTACAAATCGATCATCCGACCTGTCGTCATGTATGGAAGTGAATGCTGGGCCGTCAAGAAGAAGGATGAAAATAGACTGCATGCGAATGAAATGAGAATGTTACGATGGATGTGTGGTGTGACAAGGATGGATAAGATAAGGAATGAGTATATAAGAGGAAGCCTGAAAGTAGCGCCAGTGGTAGAAAAGGTGAGAGGAAGCAGATTGGCATGGTTTGGGCATGTGATGCGGAGGGATGAAAGTCATGTCACAAAACGAGTGTTGAATATGAATGTGGAGGGACACACGGGCAGAGGAAGGCCGAATAAAAGATGGATCGATTGTGTGAAGAGTGATATGAGAATGAAAAGAGTAAGTATGGAAATGACGGCTGATAGAGAGGAATGGAACAAGAAGATTTACTGCGCCGACCCCAGATAATGGGAAATGGTTTAGAGAATGATGACTAACAAGAATTGATGTCTCGTCTTGACAAGAACATATCGGTACGCGTCATGTCTGAATATCATAGGAACGTTACCTAATCATGGAGGTCTTGGAGAACTGTAAGGGTTGGATGGAGGCTCCTCAAAGTGTAGAAGTTCCTATAACGAGACCTTCGGGTATTGGATATTAGTGTGGCGGCGCTGTCGTCGCGCCACAAGCGAAACACACCGAAGCCTAAATCGCGCTATTAACATTCCGAATCATAAACAGTATATGTATATAGAACATCTCAGAACTATCACATGGAGTGTTGGCCGCTCCTCGGGCAGAACACCTTGCCCGGCGGGAGATCTCCCCTTTTCCTTCCAAGGCCACAGTGATGACCCCGACGTGATCTAAACACGCAACTAACTACTTTCAGAAATCGTCATAGAGTACCCCACCCATTCGCTCCCGAGCAGATATCGTCTGCAGTCTTCATATCCTTACCCTTACCCTTTTCCTTCCACGGCCACATTAGCTATTACAAAATTCATGTAGCTTTAATCGCGTAAACAAAACCTGATAAGAACCTAGGTTGTGACCAAATCGCGATAGAATGATAGGTTTTTGCTACACTTGTAAACACACTTGTCGATGTCTACTTTTTTAGTACGTTAGCCAGTAAACTAATAACCAGATGCATAATAAAATTGCAAACTATATACGTTCCACTTTCTAATTTACCAATAATATTATACTTTTAATTACTCCCAATTCACTAATTTCTCAGACATGCAAGAACCCTCACTATGTTTTCCTTCACCGAATAGCACGTAAAATTCAATAAAATTCAATCGGCACCTAAAATTCAAATTAATAATTTCATTGGTGGCGTCGGAATCGAACCCAAGTTACTCGAGTACTGTGAAATTACAGCTAGTGCTTTGATTAACTTTAAGCTCTATTAAAATGTAAACAACAATATTATGTTAAAATTAATAATTAGAAAAAAAAATCAATGATTACCTAAATATACGTTTTGAAGGTAGGTTTTTATTCTTCTTTTTCCTTTTACACTGTTGAGTGAACTTAAATAACAAGTTCAAAGTAACAACTCGAATGTCGTCGTCTATTCGCTTAGATACGGTCGCCTTTGTGTCGCACAGTCTTGGGATGTGCCGCATCTTGTCAAAGGCGCCGCCGCGACCGCAAAGGTCGCCGGGTGCGGCGTACATCCGCAGGTGAATTTGGCATTTCAAAACGAAGAGCCGTTGTAAAAGGTTCTTTGCTACTTAACTTGTGTTTAATATTACAATTACCATAAGAATCAAATAGTATTCTATTTTATTTTTAGAAATGAAAAGGATTTATTTAACAAACAATTAAAAAATAATAAAATAAAAGCTAAATAATAAGTGCGCCTCCTGGCAAAAATGAAGAAAGGTAAGAGTGAAAAGGCTTTTGTAAAGCTAAGTCATTGCGGTACCGTCTTCGGTTTCATCACTTCTTACCATCAGGTAAGTAGTGAAGCACTGGCTTGAAATAGTTTCAAAAAAAACATTTTATTTTTTTAAATCTTTTTTTTTTACAAATAAATATTATTGTTGTTGATTTTTTGTCATTCTATTTATAATTTTTCATGGTTCATATTAAATTACTAACAGTTTTTATATTATCACTAAGAATTAACTACATACTGTGTCTCCTAACATGCCTTGGTCGCTTTTAAGGTGACATAAGTCCTTTTTTCTCATATATAACACTTATTCGGTGTTTGTTTGTTGTTGGTAATGCTTAACAAGTAAAGATAAAAATAAGACGAAGATAACACCCGTATATATGAACACATGTAGATAAAAGTAAAATAAAAATAGCATTCTGTAGGTATGTTGTACACATGTCGCTAGTAAATACAAAATAAAAATAACAACCTGTATAATACACGTGCACAAACGGTTATACGTAATAATAAAAAAAATAACAACCTATATATACTTACAGACATGCAAATTAACAAATCACAATGAGTAGTTTTGGCGGGAATTTAACCGACAATGGATTGTTGTTCCTGTTTATGGTTTAAATAATAGTTTGAAGTGGATTTTGATACGCAAAAAAATATTATTATATGTACTAAGCGTAATTCTTCGATGATGCTATAACTCTATAAACTAATTTATTTTGCCCTGTTAGGCACCATAAAAAACTATAAACACTATAGTCGACGACTGTCTGCTGGGTTAAACTGTCGTCAAAATCTCCTAAAAACTTCGTAACATGACGCATCAGATTATGGTGAAACAGTTTATCAACGGTATATTAAAAACAGTCATTTTGTATTACTTTATACTGGCAAAAATACAACCTCTAGAGTCCATCACCAAAGAAAAAAAGTTACAAACAAGTTATGCGTATATAAATAGCGGCGCGAATCATGAGCAACAAGTTTGTGCTGCAAACTGACGACGTCTACATTTTTGAACCAATATACTGAGTGAATGACCATTACAACCTATCAAAGTTTACATCTGAACATAGACCTCCATTGTAGATTGCTTGATAGGGGGATTTTTGCCATAGTTGCCACGCTTGGCAAGCGGGTTGGCAACCGCAGTTCTTTATTTTTACTCGTAATTTTTACTTTTTTCCCTCTATCGCCTCTTACGACACCCACGGGCTACTGCCTCGAGAAAAATGCATTTATCTTTCTTTGGGTAACTTTGTTTTTATGGGTAAAACATTTATGCACAATACGGTCCCGCTCCTCACGACTCGTGCGATCTATATGCATGCGGTACTCACCGTCGGCGTGCGCGATATCCGTGTGCTCGGTGCGCTCCGTGTGGTCCGTTCTGTCCGGATCGGGCCGGTCCGGATCAGGTCGGTCCGGTTCGGGTCGGTCCGTACGTGCGTCCGCCCCACAAGCCAGCAGTAGGCGACACGCCGCCGCGGAATCCCTGCGCGCCGCCACGCACAACGCACTCTCGCCGCGGGCGTCACACGCGTTCACCTTCGCACCTGCGATAATGAGGGCTAATAAACTTCTGCTCACTAGATGTCGTTTATTGGAACTGAGATAAGTCATTTGTTAGTTAACGTCATTATAATTGAAAAGCTACGTTATATATACATTTATCGGCATTTAAAGTATGTTAAAACACAAAACAATGCCTCGTTGGTATGCTCTTTAATTTTTTAACTCTCTTTTTAATTTTTCTACTCTGCAATATCCGTAGTTTGGTTTATCTATCTAATTAATATAAAATATAACTCAACCGAGGATGCCTCGTTTTGATGCTTCAGCATAATCATCGTCATCATCATCATCATTACAGCCCTTCACAAGTCCACCGCTGAACATAGGCCTCCCCCAAGTAATACCACAAAGCACGGTCCTGAGCCACCTGCATCCATCGACTTCCTGCATGTCTTACCAGGTCATCACTCCATCTAGTGGGAGGTCGCCCTACACTACGCCTACCGGTACGAGGCTGCCACTCGAGAACCTTTTTTCCCCAACAATATGTGACAACTTCAAAACCGTTCTACTTACGCCAATTATGGTTTTACAATCTGGGTATTCACGTTAAAGATGGAGGTAAGGAGAAAGCCCTTTGTTGTTCATGGACTGAAGATGTAGCGGATCGCGGAAGTGTTGAAGTTGGAAGCGCACTTCTAGGATTTTTGGAGGTGGATCCAAGTTATCAAAAGAAAGATCATTTATTGATCTGGTCGGATTCATGTGCCGGACAGAACAAAAACTTTAACATGATTGCACTGTATTAATATCTTATATTAAAAGGATATTTTAAAGTATTAGACCACAAGTTCCCTGAGGTTGACTATTCTTATTTAGCTTCGTATCGTGATTTTGGTAGGATAGAAAAAGTCCTTAGGAAACACGATACAGTTTATGTTCCTGAACAATACAGGAATGTTATAGCCAAAGCTTCTCAAAATAATACAGTCAGTGACATGAGCGCACATTTCAGAAAAATTGGTGAGTTACAGGAAAAACTTAATTTGATTAACAGAAAAAAAGATGTAAACAATGACAAAGTAAGTTTTAGGGATGGTATTAAATGGATTCGCATAGATGAATATGGTACCTACCTATATAAAGAAACATACGATGAAATGACACCCTTCAAAAAGGTGAACATTTCGAAAAGAAGATTTTGTGGAGATTCCGCGTACGAACAGAAAATATGGTACCGTATCAGTGGAAAAAAATGAAAACCTCCGAGACCAACTTAAGTACGTATAGCCGCAAGATCGGTATTTCAATGAGTCGATTTTAATTGAAAAATAGTATTATTTTGATCTCTGTTTTATTGTCAAGACTGATCCCTGTTTTATTAGTTTACGTTTTTATTGATAATGTTTTAAGTAATGTTTAAATTATGTTTACATTTTTGTAATACTTTAAGTACATAATGTTACCTAATTTGAAATAGCTAAAATGCTAAAATGTTTTTAAAATGTTAATGAAAGATAGAGTCATGATTAGGTTTTTCGAAATTATATACCAAAAATATTAAAAGAGTTTAATTGCTCACGTATCCTAAATTTTTTAAGGTTATTTACCCAACTTTGCACTATAGTTTAAATCAAAAACCAATTTTCTAACAACTTATCTCAAAAAACAAAAGTAAAACTTCAATCTTGATTTACTCAAAATTAATAGAATGCGAGTTATCACCTTCATCCACTTACGTATCCAATTATCCTCTGTCCACATTTCCATGATGCCCGAACGTAACATTTGTGACTTAAAACTTCTACGAGCGCACTGCGAGCGCGATGCAAATCTCTTTCGTGTTGGTCAAAAAACTGACAATAGGCAGAGTAAAATCTAGCACAAGCGCGCTCGTTCGAGTCTTGTTAGTCGGTTCACACAACACGAATTTGTGCTCGGCTCATGCTCCGCTCGTGCTCGGTTCCTCTAGCGTAGACCCACCTTTACCTTACCATGGCTCTCACTAATAATGTCCTCCAAACAGGATTTCCGTCACGACGATCTGCCTCAACGGAGACTAGCCATCTGCACATGACAGGATTACAGTGCCCAAGTGCGCAAGCACAGGTGCACTCTCTATTGCCTCACTCTCATCGCCCGATGGGACGGTAACCGACGCGACCGGAGAGAGATCAAGCGCATTACCGATGGTTTTACGTGCTTTCTGAGGCACAGGTAAGAAGCAACGCCAACTTCTGAACTCTAGGCAGCTACTGGGAATTTCGTTTTCTTTTGGATTCGAACCCGGGACCCCATTATCAACAATCGCGTTTAGAACTACTAGACCAACGAGGCAGTCGATATACATTGTTAAAATAAACATTTAAAAAATATCTAAATCTCCTCACCATGTCGCAATAACAAGTCCATGGCGTCCAGGTGCGCATGCTCCGTCGCCACGTGGAGGGGGGTCTGCCCTTCTTTGTTCTTCTCATTCACTCTCGCGCCTTTCCTTATCAGTATTTCCATCACCTGGTGTATAAGAAATGCAGTTTTAAACAGTTGTAGTTGAGGGATACGCACTCATCTTGAAACAGTATGCGAGCAAACAGTTAGCACGTGGTGGGGGTCTTAAAAAAAATGTAAAAGTGGGTGATGGATGGTGGGTGGTGGGTGGTTGGTGGTAGGTTATGGGTTATACCTGCTTGCGCTTGGGGTAGAGGCTGGCGGCGGCGCAGTGCAACGGGCGGTCGCCGCTGGCCGCCTGCGCGAAGTTCGCCAGCGCCTCCACGCACTCCGCACTCGCGCCTGGCCCGCCCCCCACCTGACCACACTGCTACAACCATAGTAGGGATGGTTAGTCAATTACATAATACCAGTACAGTATAATAATAATAATAATAAATATATAATAATTTCTGCGAAACGTCAGCCTCTCGGGTGTACTGAGGCCGCTGGGACTCCGTGACGGACCGCTCCGGATGACAACGGGCAAATGGAGGAGGCCGTGCCGCTCAATACCACTCGCATCATCCGCCATTTTCTTTCTCCTTCCCCCTTACCCTCGGCCGTTTGGTCTCCCCTGTCGATGCTCCCATCTGGTTCATTTTTTATTTATTTATGTATTTCTTATTTATATATTTTACTATATTTAATGTATATGACAGCGCTTGCGCCATTGCACGATGCGGCGGCGTCTACGTAGCTAGCCAGAATTCTTGTAAACAATTTAATTTTATAGTTTTAAATAGATTCATATTGGTATTAATTGTGAAGATTGGTACCTATATAATATTGCATAACGGTCATTTATCTAACAGCAGGCAGGTTCACCAATGCAGTTTTTAATTACTTTGAGTGTTATCAGGAAGACGCTGCTTTTCATCTCCTGTTTCAATTTTCATGTGTCGCCTCTTACGCAGCCCACGGGACAATATGCAGTAGTGGATACTCTTACACCGCTACTCTAACATTAATGATCTCTACGTCCACATCAGTACTGTGAACATCAGTATATATCAAATGTCCATATCCAAATGTCCCGAAACTGAGATTAGTTGGGTACCGAAGGCTGTTTTAAGCATAGTACACTATAATACATACATAATAGAACGGGGAAGTGGGCGGAGCCCGTGCAGCCACTAAAATGTCACTAACATGTCAATTCACACATATAAATGTCAACACGAGATGTGTTTTGACGTTACAATCGTTTTCAAATTTCGCATGCAAATTATTTAGAAAATACCAAATTGTACACTATTTACAAATAAATATGTAATAAAATTTAAACAATTTTTTTTAATGATGATCTTGAACATTAATCAAAAGTCTAAAATGTGTTAATTTACTCAGTCTGTCAACACAGCAAATCGCGTTTGTAGTAGTGATAATACGATGTAATTGCTTGTATGTGTGCTCCCGGCGACGCCGACCCTCGTACAAAATAAGTTTGACAACCATTCTATTGTGTATTATAGTACTCTATGGTTTAAAGCATGCCACAGCCAAAATATGGAATGATTTACCACCGCCAGTTCGATCGTCGTTAAAGCACTCGCTGCCGACGTGACGCAAAAAATTACGCGACTACATCGTCTACGTCGAAAACTACATATACGTTAAGGTTTTATTTTGCTGTACAAAAGCTTAGATTTTTACTATAATTTTAAGATAAAATACTTACTACTATATGCAGACTACCATGCATGAATGTTTAGGCTATTGAATAAAACTAAATTTACGGATTCTATCGCGTTTATTTAACTGATTTTACTTATTTTTAATTCACGACGTTTCGGGTGCTTTACAGCATCCATGGTCACGGGGGGGGGACTGAGATGTTTGACGTCCCAATGTCATTGTTAGCCCGGCTACCTTCAGTTTTTTGAATATTAATTTTTGGTCCGATTTACGCAAAACGAACTTACAGTATCTTGAAGTCTTGCAGTGGTATGCTTGGGTTTGGGTTTAATTTTGTTAATTATAGGATCCCAAGCAGGTGGCAGCACCCAACCATCTTCTCTATTGAAATTAGGATGTTTTTTAATTTCAATAGCCTCGCGTCCGCGCGGAGAATCGTAAGCTCTGGTCTGTTCCGTAAGTTAATCAACGCTGTAAATTCGTCTTTAGGAAGGTTTGGTTTCGGCACTGCACTACGACGTAACAAGGACGAAATATCTTGACGTATAGCCTCCAAATCTTCCTTACCGATATTATTCTTAAACAATCTTACCATCTGACAAAGTAACTGCATTTTTAAACCACCTTAACTCTATAAACTCTAAAATACAATTCACAATGGAGTTAGAGGCAAATAATTCTTTAGCTTTCCAAGATGTTTTAGTCATTCGAAATCCTGATAACACTATTGGTCACACTGTGTATAGAAAAAAGACCCATACCAACCGATATTTAAATGGTGAATCTCACCATCATCCTTCACAGTTAGCTACCGTGGGTAAATCTTTGTTTCAGAGAGCACGAGGGATCTATGACAGAAAACATCTGGCCGCCGAGCTTCAGCACGTCAAGCAAGTGTTGCAAGACAACAAGCTTCGGGTCCCGCGCCTACGTCACAGTGTCCGAGTGAAGCCGGCCACAGTCGAGCGTGTACCTGCTGTACTGCCATATGTCAGAGGAGTCACAGACAAGGTTGGCTACATCTTGAAGCGAGCTTCCATTAAAACATACTACAAGCCGCCGAAGAAGATTAGTCAATTTTTACCATCCGTCAAGTGTAATATCCCTCTACAAGATGCAGGAGTGTACAAGTTAGATTGTGAATGTGGTCTCTCTTACATAGGTCAAACAAAAAGATCCATAAAAACCCGCGTGAAAGAACATATAGCTGACGTGAAGCACCGACGCTCCGGGAAGTCTGCAGTCTGTGAACATGATCAAGATCGTCCCCACCTTTATATCAGATTTGATAAACCATAAATCCTCGCAAAAAACACCGATTCCTACCGAGGATGATACGCGAGGCTATTGAAATTAAAAAACATCCAAATTTCAATAGAGAAGATGGATGGGTGCTACCACCTGCTTGGGGTCATATAATTAACAAAATTAAACCAAAACCTAAGCATACCACTGCAAGACTTCATGATACTATAAGCTCGTTTTGCGTAAATCGGACCAAAAATTAATATTCAAAAACTGAAGGTAGCCGGACTAACTATGACATTGGGACGTCAAACATCTCAGTCCCCCCCCCCCCGTGACCATGGTTGCTGTAAAGCACCCGAAACGTCGGGAATTAAAAATAAGTAAAATCAGTTAAATAAACGCGGTAGAATCCGTAAATTTAGTTTTATTCAATGTGTAGTGTTCGCGTAAATTTAAGAAATCATTATGTTTAGGCTATGTCAAAATACCAGGGTCTGTGGTTCTCCTACATTCACTGAGCCATAGACCATTGTCTCCAACTAGCATTATTAGTTTATGTTGATGAATTTGTACTTCTTTTGAGACAAATAAAGACTTTTATTATTATTATATCGGAGGGAAGTAAACCAGGAGATGGGCGGCTACATCTTACTGACTTACGCAGTTTTTAATTACATCCAGAAATTAAAAACTGCGGCAACAATCCCGCTCGAAACACTGCAAACTCAACCCAAACACATTGACGGTTCCGTTAACATTAATTTGATTGGAAATTTCAACTCACCATCTGCTGTTGATTTGCCACGGACAACTGCTTTTTTACTCTAGCCGGTTCTGCAAGGCGGCACGCTTCTAGCAGACAGTGGCCTCGATACTCGACTAGAAAGAGAAAACCTTGTATTACTGACAGACCAATTGTATACGTGGTAGAGCCTTGCTGCAGTTATATTAATAGTATAGTTGTACCACGAATGGGTCAGCTCGACACGGAATATCAGCGTAAAATAGCAGCTTAATGCTTGTGTGTTTCGTATTGTGAGTGTAGAGAACCGGAGACCCTTTTTACTGGAAACGAGGCATTCCATCTTAGTCCTCAGGGGTGAGGATAGATGTAGATGTCTATGGGCCTCAGCAACCACTTATCATCAGGTGGACTGTGCGTTTGTTTATTATTCTATCCTATAAAAAAAAAATTCAATCGTAAATCATTTAATTTGTAGATTTGTATTATTAAGCAAGTTGCATCTAACTTTTTACTGCACATTTATTTTCTCGACTCTTTGCAAGTCAATTTCCAGTGCGACATCGGTTACCAGCAACCATTTACCATCAGGTGGACTGTGTGCTCGTTAGTCAATCGATCCTATAAAAAAAAAACAAAAATATTGATCATGTACATGCTATGTTTAATTATTTTTAGAACCAAACTCCAGTTATATTATGGTTGCAGCATGAATGGATCGGCTCGACCGAGGAAGGTCTATACTCACAGCAGATAAAATAGCAGCTTAATGCTGCTGTATATTGTATGGTCAGAGTAGAGAATTGGAAACTCTCTTCTAGCCTACTTCAAAAAAAGATGTTCACAATTCAACTGTATATGTTTTTACTCAATATCTTCTACAACTGTTAACCAAATTGATGTAATGATTCTTTTTTAAGAAATAATTTATGATGAGAAATAGTATATTCAAAGGTAAAAAAAAAACCCCCCCCCCCGGTGCCACACCCCACACATATTTTAAAAAAAACTCCATCCCTAAAGGTGGAAAAATAGTTATTGAAGTTTTTATGCTAACTATTTAGACATTAGTGTACAATCTGCCACTCTGCTTTGTATATGTGGACTATCAAAAAGCCTTTGATTCCGTTGAAAATTGGGTGGTCCTGCAGTCCACTCAGCGGTGCCATGTTGACTGTCGGTATATCGAAGTGCTGAAGTGTTTGTGCAGTAGGGCTACGATGGCTATCCGAGTAAAGAACAAGAGTACGAAACCTATCCAACTGCAGAGAGAGGTGTAAAACAGGGTGACTACTGGACTGGAAAGGATACGGTCTATACAGTTTTAACATTAATGGCGAGTACATCACTCACCTTCGATTTGCTGACAATATAGTCCTTATATCTAAAACTAAGCACTATGATCAATGACCTCAATAGTGCCTCCCAACGGATAGGTCTTAAGATGAAAATGGACAAAACAAAAGTCATGTGAAACGTCCATGTCACACCTATGCCGGCAGTTGTTGGGAGCACTATGCTCAAAGTTGTTCACGAGTACGTTTACCTGGGACAAATAGTCCGGCTAGGTAAGTCCAACTTCGACCGAGAGGTCAATCGACAGATTTAATCCGGCTGGGCGGCGTTCGGTAGACTACGACACATTTTCAAATATACAATATACCCCAAAACTTGAAAACAAGATTGTACAACCAGTGCGTGTTTCCAGTGATGACCTATGGATAGGTGACACCGTCCTTCACTGCTGGCCATATGAGGAAGCTCAAGGTCACTCAGCGAATTATGGAGGGGGCTATGCTTTGGGTTTCTCTATGTGATAAACTTAAAAACGCGGATATCCGCAACAGAACCAGAGTAACCGACATAGCCCAGCAGGTTAGTAAGCTGAAGTGGCAATCGGCCGGTCATATAGCTCGAAGAACCGATAACCGATGGGTAAGAAGGGTTCTCGTGTGGCAGCCTCGTACCGGCAGGCAAAGTGTAGGGCGACCCCCCACTAGATGGAGTGACGACCTGGTAAGATATGCAGGAAATCGATGGATGCAGGTGGCTCAGGACCGTGCTTTGTGATATTCCTTGAGAGAGGCCTATGTACCTACACAAAAATAAAAGTTGTTTTACAAAAATAAGTGATATTCATTCTGTAAAAACTAAGAACAGATACAAGCTAGTAGTACCAGTTACTCAACTTCACCAAGTCAGTAATTAATTCTTGGGGCTATGTATAGGCTTTTACAGCAAATTACCACAATACATACAAAATTTGATGTGCACATAATTCAAAATCTATTAAAGTTTGTATAAAAAGGGTTATTATAATATTAAGGAATTCATGGATGATAATAACCTGAGGGAAAGGCAATCGCTACCAAGCTATTTCTAATTAGAATTGTGTTGTTAATTGTAACATACATGACTGTAAGCTGTTTTTTTTTAAATCCCATTGGATTTCTTGCTGATTCTTTCCAGGACAGAGGTTTTTTTTTGGGAACCAGTGGTAAATTAAAAAAGTGACTTTCAATAATATTATAACTATTTACAGCAGTGGACTTGTGAAAGGCTGTATATATATATATATATATATATATATATATATATATATATATATATATATTATATATATATAAAAGAAATGAATTAACCACAGATTTCATTCAGACATTCATAGAACATTTATATAGCACTAGACTACAATAAAAAAAAATTAAAATTTAATTATATATTTATTATATATTTTCCATACCAAATTATTAATCCTGTAACTACCATATTTCTCGCAAATAAATTATTATTATTATTATTATTAGACATTTAAGCTTGTGGTATTCCTCAAACCTCCCAAAAGAGTAAAAATAATTTACTTTTAATAAAGAAGCCCATTTTAAAGAACTAAAAAGAATAAAACAAATCCCACAAAAGCTTAGCTTTAGCTTAGTTTTAGCTTCAGAAGTCGGGGTTGCAATTCTACAATCTAAAGACTACATCAACAACGATGTTATGTGAGATACATATAACGTTCTATGTTTAATTAAAAGTATAATTTTACTGTTAACGAGGCATTTTCTCACAGTCTGCTGGAAAGGCAATGCATTTTCATCAACACTAAATGTGTCTATGGGATTTTAATCAATAAATATGTTGTGTTAAAGGAAGTTTTCATAAAAGATAAAAGCAAAAGACACTCACAGGCCAGTCTCTCTTGCAGCTCTCGTGTTGGTGCCACATCAAGAGCTGACTTCCCGTGGCAGTTCAGTAGAGTCGGGTCCGCTCCCTCACTAAGTAGTAAGGAACAGACCTAGAATTGATACACTTGTATTAAAATTAATATCAGACTATCCTAAGAAACCTCACACAAATCTTGATACTTTAAACAAGCTACCATTGTTTAGAGTCTATTACTTCTATTAGTCTTTGAAGCGACAGTAGCCTAATGGCAGGACACGGACCGCGAACTCAAAAAGGTCGTGGGTTCGAATCCGCCATTCGACCACTGGTGTGAACCACTCGTAACACAAGCAATTTATGCTTACCACGAGTGGTTAAGTGGAATATTAGTAATGTTTATAACATTGTTAATATTCTATATTAAAAAAAATAGAGTCTATACAATGGTCGGTTAAAAAACTAGCTGGTCTATACTATAGACCGGTTATTTTTTTAATCGATAGAGAAGAAACCAGGGTGGAAAAATAGTTTCTTATATTTACGCAAATAATACAGATTAACTTAAACTTTAGCGGCTTAATTGCATTTGATTTTAACTTTTTTACTACAAGCTGCCGAAGAATATTACTCAGTTCTTATCATTTGTGCATAATAATATCATCAGCTTGATTGTGAAAATGGTCTCTCTTACATAGGAAAAACAAAACGATCCATTGAAACCCGCTTAAAAGAATATATAGCTAATGTGAAGCACCGACGCTCTGGGAAGGTTATGTCAACATGTTCGGGATCACCCCAACCAACATTATATCAGATTTGATAGGCCACAAATCCTCACAACGTTAACCAAGAGCCGTGGTAGCTCAGTGGTTAACGCTCGCTGTAAATATAACAGAACGCTAGTAACCCGGGTTCGATCCCCGCCGGCACCAATGAAATTGTTAATTGCAATTTTAAGTGCTGATTTACCACGTGCTCGGCGGTGAAGGAAAACATCGTGAGGAAACCTGCATGTCTGAGGAATAAGAAAAATATTTCGAAGACATGTGAAGTTCGTCAACACGCATTTGGGCAGCGCGGCGGACACTTCCTTGCCCTAAACCCTCTCAGAAATGAGGGGAGGCCTGAGCCCAGCAGTGGGACGTATATAGGCTGTAACTTTACTTTAAATCCTCACAAAAGAACACCGATTCCTAATAAGGATGTTTCGTGAGGTTATTGAAATTGAACCTTACCGAACGTGTGTTTATAGTAAAAACATAGAAATAAACACACGTTCCTGATACGTACAAAAACCTACAGACAACTTAATTAAATAACCAGTCTTGTCTCTATTCACACTTTGGTTTCTATTAACCCCATTTTACTGTATTGCAAGACTTCAAAATACTGTAAGCTCGTTCAGTGTAGATCAGACCAAAGGTGAATATTTACAAGTTGAAAGTAGCCTTCGTTAACTTTGACATCAGGACGTCAAACAAAGGAAAAATTAAACAAGATAAAGACGCTGTTGTCCATCTCGTGATTTATTTCCCTCTGTCGCCTCTTACGACGCCCACGAGTCGTGGTGGGGTATGTGGGGTAGTGGATTTTTTTATAGAATATGGGAGACAAACCTTCAAACATTTATCCACGATTAAAAATCAAAATGCAGATGCGTTGTCACCCCTGAGGACTAAGATGGAATGCCTCCTTTCCAGTGAAAAGGATCTCCGGTTCTCTACACTCACGATACGAAACACAACCGAATAAGCTGCTATTTCACGCTTGTATTCTGTGAGAGCGTGGTCCTACCAGTGTAGCCAACCCATTCGTGCTACAATCATAATATATCTGCAGCATGACTCTACAATTGAAATAATACTAGTCTTTACGGAATTTATCGCGTATATTTAACTTTTTAAATACCCGACGTTTCGAACGCTTTACAGCACTCATGGTCACGGGCAGGACTGAGATGTTCAACGTCCGTATGTCATAGTTAACCGCGGTTACCATAGATTAAAATTTAACTTTTGTTCCGACATATGGACGTTGAACATCTCAGTCCTGCCCGTGACCATGAGTGCTGTAAAGCGTTCGAAACGTCGGGTATTTAAAAAAGTTAAATATACGCGATAAATTCCGTAAAGACTAGTATTATTTCAATGTGTAGTGTGTTAGCGTAAATATAAGAAATCATTATGACTCTACAACGTATAAAACTCTTACATCGCCACTACAGTAGAAATAAACACAGATCAACAACCACTTGCTTTGTCAAAAATTATTTGCATGCAATAAACCTTCAATCAAAATTAACCTTATGTTAACAATAGAGGCCACTTTAACCGTAAAAGGGTCATCATCATTAAAAATTTCGTCTTTAGAATTCACAAACAAATTTCCACCTTAACGAAATTTCTTTAAGGTTCACTATCGCTCACCTCGAGCCTAGCCTTGCTGGCGGCTTCATGTAAGGGTGTGAAGGCCCAAAGGTCGGTTGCGTTAACGTCTGCACCAGCTCGTACCAGAAGTTCTGTAACCTCGTAGTGGCCGTAGGAACACGCATTGTGAAGTGGTACCAGACCTCTGAAAGACGAGATTGGCGGTCAATTTTTTTTTAAGAATATTTTGTAAGGCACCGTGACGCAGTGGTTTAGTAATTAGTTGTAGCGCTGAGGGCCGCGGGTTCGAACCCCGCACGGAACAAGTATTTGTATGGCCTACAAGTAATTGTTGCAGGTCTGAATGTTTGTCCTTGTGAAATTTATGTATGTAAACTACCCCCACGGGAAATCCTAGAGTGGAGGTAACATTTAAAAAAAAAACAACAATAAATAAAATTTATAAAAGAATTGTGTTTCGGCACGAGTATTGTGATTAATCGAATCATGAAAGGTCCTTAAGGAAGTTCAGCAGTTCCTTGATGTTGCGAGCAAGTTCGAGGAGTGAACTCGGCGTGCCGAGATGTTTAGCCCTGTATGCAGTGACCTTTGGACATGCCAGCAGCACGGTTCGCCTTTTTCTCCTGCGTCTTATCTCATGGTCTCGTGTCCTGCACTGGGGACTGTTTATAGCACCTATGGTGTATATACCGATAAATCAGCGTGCTTCTTGGCATTGGCCAGCAGTGAAGTCTACATTTTTGTATGGGCTAGAGCCGTGCTGCAGCTATATTATAGCACGAATGGATCGACACGCTCTCACAAAATACCAGAATGAATAGCAGCTTAAAGCTGCTGTTTCGTATATAGAGAACCAGATATGTTTTCACTGGAAACAACGAGGCATTCCATCTTAATTCATAGAATTTTTAACATCATTACCACTATATCTTAGTCTTGAAGAGTGACAATACATCTGCATTCGTCGGGATTCGTGCGGGATTTGAACCCGCAGCCTTTAGCGCTGCAACTTATTGCTTAGCTACTGCGCCAAGGTACCGTCAATATACGCGCTTAGACGTGAAGTTTCGGAAAAAAGCCAAAATTCTTGCATGCCTCTTAGAAAAGGCTTCCTCTATTAGGTTCTATCACGAGTTACTTTCGTCATGTTAGAGTTTATGAGTTTTGATTTGCCCGGCCAACGCCTTTGTTGTTTTCGCTTGCTTACTTTGCCGTTACTAAAATTCCAACCTTTTATTATTATTTATTATAGGACACGTGTGACACACGAGCACACAGTCCACCTGATGATAAGTGGTTGCTGTGGCCCATAGACATCTACATCCACCCTCGATTAAGAAACAAAATGCAGACGCGTTGTCACTGGTGAGCACTAAGATGGACCTTGTATCCCGTAAAAAGGGTTCTCTACACTAACCATACGAAACACAGCAGCGTTAAAGCTGCTGCTATTTTACACTGGTATTCTATGAAAGTGTGGCCTCCGGTCGAGCCGAGCCATTCGTGATACAACTGCACCACTAATACAGCTGCAGCATGGCTCCATCACGTAAAGTAAAAGAAACACAAGAGAGGCACAAAAAGGATATTGGTTTTATTTTCAAGAAGAATCCCCATCTCTTCTCCAGTCCTTTCAGAAACTCTTAAACCCAGGGAACCACTCACATTTTGTCATCAACATGCATTACAGAACAGTCCATTACTTCAGAATTTTGCATTAGGTTCGAAGCTACCGTAGACACCTGTTGGTCTAGTGGTTAGTGACCCTGACTGCTAAGCCGGAGGTCGTGGGTTCGATTCCCACCCAGGACAAATGCTTGTGTGATGAGCACGATCATTTGTTCTGTATCTGGGTGTAATTTATCTATAATATTTATGTATTTAAAAATATATAAGTATGTTTATCAGTTGTCTAGTACCCATAACACAAGCTCTGCTTAGCTTGGGACTAGATGGCGTTGTGTGATAGTTGTGGAATATTGTGGAATTGTGGTAGAACCTGTTAATGAACGCTATAAGACTTACGAACACGCGACTCACCTGAAGGCTACCACCAAGAACAACTGCAACACCAGGGTACTAGCAGATGTGTTACCGGGCTTTTAAATAAGAGTAGACTCTTTTTAAAAGTCCCTAAGTCGTATCGGTCTGGAAAAATCGCTGGCGCCAGTCGATACCACAAAAAAGTTGCCAAGATTTCAGGAATCCTCACCCCTTGTCCTTGGCGTGTACATCGGCACCACGCTGCAGCAACAGCCTCACCGCCCTCGCTCGGTTGTACCCGGCCGCCAGATGGAGAGGCGTTGACCTTCGTCCATCTCCCGCGTGAACGTTCACGTTGAGGGGCGTCAGCAAGGCTGCCAGCCTGTCATCCGCGCCCGCTCTCGCAGCTTCCAGTACATCCGCCGCGCAGTATTCACCTACGCAACGCCCATCATTAGTCTAGATCTGTGCTTTGTAGAGGCGATCTAAGAAAATCAAAGACGTCGTCCTAATCGGCTGTCGGTCGTACGATTAAACGATGCGATTTCGTCGCACGATGAAAAAGATCGTGCGATGGTCCAATAGATGTCTTAATAGCTCGCGCGATGACGCGATGTTGCAGCGCAGTCACCGCAACGGCGCCCTTTCAACAACAGCTGTTTACTGAGATGCAGTTTTTTTTATTCTCTTAGGTCTCTTATGCCCAAATACTCAAATGCTACTTAACCCCTCAGTCCCCTTAAAATTCTCATGCAAGTCGCATGCGCCCGGCAAATCCCGAGCGGTCGCATGCGACGGCACCCACCCGCAGCACTTAAAACCATTAAAACTTATATTTGGAGACTACTTTTCTATGAAGAAGTTTGGCATTATAAAATCTATACAAAATTCTCTATATAAAAGTCAGGTTTCACTTAATTACAAAAAGACTATTGTATTTTGAAAACAAAAACAAAACATACCAAGCGAATGTCGGCAGCGTGAAAACCACAATTATTTCAATATATGTTACTCGAAATTATTTACGTAAAAAGATAAATTATATTCACACAAAAACTTTGATTAACATTTTATAATAAAACACTGGAAAAATCCAAAAATCAACACAATAACATTCACGCGAAAATAGCGTACGAAATGAACGTAGATTATAAATAAATATCCATAGCATAACTATTTTTATTGCGCTAGAATATAGAAAATTTCATATTGATTCTATAATGTCAAACTTTTTCATAGAAAAGTAGTCTTCAAATATAAGTTTTAATGGTTTAAAGTGCTGTGTGTATGTGTGCAATTAGAACACTCAAAAGAAGTGTGCGCGTTTAATCTCGTCGTGCGACGAAATCGCATCGTATAAACGTACGATCGTTGCCAATTCGAACGAAGCCAAATACATTCGTCCCGTGGGTGTTGGAAGGCAGCAGAGGGAAACTTTAACTGGAGATGGGCAACAGCATCTTCCGGATAACAACTTTATAGTAATAATTAAAATAACTACGATTGCGAACATAGTGATTTAAAAAATATAAGTCATTTGTATAAAAAGGGACAGATATGACCCTAAAAACTACAGGCCTGTCGCTTTGCTTCCAATATTCTCCAAAATAATACACAAAGTAATATATAACAACTTATATTCATACTGTACAAATTATTATTCAGGGTCTTGATGTGGGTTAAGTTTTTCTACCGTACATTTATGTAGAGAGTTGAGGAGACAGAGGTGGGTTGACAAAGTACAGTAAACGTTCATGAAGTAGCAATAAAGTAGTGATTTTACAAAAGAATACATCTTAAAAGCGTAAGTGAGGACGATAAGGGGTAATTGTTCGCCCCCATTCCCCCTTCTTCTTTCTAAGCAGTAAATAAATTTATCTGTACTTTCTACTTTAAAAGCTATTCAGGAATAACTTCTCGTCAGGTAACTGAAAAGAAGCGAAAACTAGATTGTGCAACCAGTACATATTGCTAGTGATGACTTACGGATCTGAGACGTGGTCCTTTACTACTAGCCGTATGATGATGTTCAAGGTCACTCAGCGAGCTATGGGGGGGGGGGGCAACGCTCGGGATTTCTCTGTTTGATAAACTTAGAAATGAGAATATCTGCAGTAGAACCAGAGTGACCGACATAGCCCAACGGATTAGTAAGCTGAAGTGGAAAGGGGCCGACTATATAGCTCGAAGAATCGATAACCGATGGGAAAAAAGTTCTCGAGTGGCAGCTTCGTATCGGTAGGTGTAGTGTAGGGCGATCCCCCACCAGATGTAGTGACGACCTGGTAAGACATGCAGGAAGTCGTTGGATGCAGGTAGCTCAGGACCGTGTTTTGTGGCATACCTTGGCGGAGGCCTATGTTCAGTAGTGGACTTGTGAAGGGCTGTAATGAATTAATGAATGAATTAAAATATTAGATTATCTCAATATCTCTATATTAATATCTCTCTCATATTCAATTGTGCAAGAGACAGATAAAGTCTTTCGGTCATGATTCTGAATTTAAATAAAACACTTCCCAAACTCACCCGTAAGTACAGGTCTTGTGGCAGCATCAGCGAGATCCAGAGGAGTCTTTCCTTCCGTGTTCCGTATATTTGGGTCCGCTCCATGCTGAAGTAGAGCTGAAATTAAATTCTATATTGAACTTGTTGGCTTGGTGATAGATATTTGCAAGGGTACTTACAAAAAAATATTAATAGAATCAGGCGTTGCTTTGCGGAAACCCATTATATGAAAAATGTTAAAAGTTAATTAGCTAAGATCTGCGTACGAGGGTGACACTGAAAGTTCTAAGAAAATCAAAAACTTACAAACTAGCAAGATAATAGTTTTATTATATCTTTTCAAAATAGTGTCCATTTAGATCAATACGTCTCTGCATCTGATGGAACCACTGAGAAAAGCACTTTGCCCACTCGTCCTTAGGGGTCTCTACGACGGCATTCTGAAACGCAGCCCCTGCTTCCTAGGCGTCCTTAAAACGTTCTCCTCGAAGATTTTCATTTATTTTGGGAAATAAATAAAAATCACAAGGTGCGAGGTCGGGGCTATAGGGCGGGTGACCCAGTAATTCCCCGTGTGACGTCGTGGTTAGATAGTGGATTGTTTGCTTTGTGGTATGCGAAGAGGTGTCGTCGTAGTGAAGGAAGATCCTACTGCGAGGTCGTGTCTCCTGAACTTTTTCCAAGACAATTGGCAAACAATTGTTAGTGTACCACTCTGCAGTAACTGTATTTCGATGTCCTAAAACAATTGTTGCGTAATGACCTGACCTTCCGATGAACGAGGCCACCATCTTTTTTTCCACGCTTCGAACTCTTCACTTTAGTTGGCAACTCCTCGGAAGGAAACACCCAGACAGCAGATTGTCTCTTAGTTTCAGGATCATAACAATAAATCCAGCTTTCGTCACCCGTAAGTATGTCGAACACAGCATCGGAGTCACCTCCGTTAAATCTTTGTACCATTTCACGACGCCAATCAACACGACGGAGTTTTTGGGCCTCTGTCAAATTATGAGGTATCCATCGGGCAAAAATCTTCCTGACCGCTAAATGTTCATGGAGGATTTTGTGCACTTGACTCATACCGATGCCCAGGCTTGTCTGAATCTGATAAGTCACTTTTTTGTCAGTCTCTATCATATGCCGCACAACACTTTTTCATTTTGATTTTATTGATTTTATCTGCAGTCTTCGCCGTAGAACGCCATCCCTCACGCAGATCATCGGTGAAATTAGTGCGACCACGTTTAAATTCATTAAACCAGTTATAAACAGTGGCACGAGATGGGGCTTCATCGTGAAAGGCCAATCGAAGTCTATTATAACTTTCTTGTTGACTTAAATGACATCGAAAGTCATAAAAAATCATTGTACGAAAATGTTCTCGCGTTAAATTCATGCTGACGTGACACAGACAATTATAAATTTGCCTCCAAATCGTAAACAAATGACAAATTAATAAAATACATACACAATAATATTGGTAAAGAATTCCAATATCAAAATTTGAACGTATTTTTTTATTATATCGTGCACAAGTGGCCAGTTCTAAAAACTTTCACTGTCGCTCTAGTATTAGGTTAACTGCGATCGTTTGTCACTTTTACATCTTTAAAAAATAACGTTCATAATTGTGATTCATCGGGAGAGCGCCCGATTAATCACAAAGCAGTCACATCTAACAAGAGACGTGAGAACGACGGATGATTTATTACGAAGATCTTGAAAGCTATATGATAAAGTGTTGATGTGATGTGTTGGTTGGGACAATACCAAGGAGTAGTTTCATTTCATGAAGGTCCTTAAATCGTATCGGTCCGAAGAAACCGCTGGTCACTGTAAATTTCAGTGTGGTTGTGCGAGGCAGGAAATTCCACTTAAGTACGCGCAAGAGTTCTTTGTTCTTATATAAACGATCATCTTCTACTTTTTTCTTAAAGCTGTTCATAAGATGTGTCAAATATCTTTTCTTCCTTCCTTCTTCAGTCTATAAAAGTGCTAGGGCCTATTGTATGTGTTACCACGCTCACCATGCTTAACGGACGGATTGATCGATGAACGATCAATGGAATATTACGCATCTTTGATCTTGTTTCCTGACGACAATCTGGTTATTCTACATCCTTTTTTTGGATAGAGTGACAAGCGAGCACACAGTCCACCTGATGGGAAGTGGTTGCTGTGGCCCATAGACATCTACATCTATCCTCGATTACGAATGAAAATGCAGATGCGTTGTCACCCGTGAGGACAAAAAATGGAATGCCTCGTTTCCAGTAAATAAGGTCTCCGGTTCTCTACACTCACCATATGAAACATAGCAGCATTAAGCTACTATTTCACGCTGGTATTCTGTAAGAGCGTGGTCCTTCCCGGTCGAGCCGACCCATTCGTGCTAAACTATACTACTACTATAACTGCAGCATGGCTCTACCACGTATATACATATGCATATACATATATATATATATATACATATATAATATATATATATATATATACGTAGTAGAACGCCATGCCAGTTATTACACCTACCCGCATACATCTACCCTAAATTAGATGATAAATACCCTTAATGAAGAACCTATATAATACCATGTGATCCTTCACCTACATTTCATCCCGGGGTTCATTAAGGTCGACTAAGAGAATTTCCGGAGAGGTTTCATGGCTTCCGACGGAAGACAGTATAACCATCTCGTTGGTGTCTGACGTAAAGTACTTAGACCTAGTGGTTGTAATCGCGATTCCTAATCATGAGGACATGGGTTCGAAACTAGGTTGGCTCGAAAATAGTTATTCGGTTTTTCTGTCAAGAAATTCACAGTAGCAGTCCGAAGTCAGAATGTTGGAGGTGTTTCACCGCCGCGCTACGGAAAGCCGTCGGTTTTACGCCGAATTTCACTCCAGTCGTGTCGGATTACCGTCTCATCGTGCTATGCGAGTAAGTGAATAGAGACTCTGGCACCAAAATTGTGTCCTATGCAGATAGTTAGTCTCCGTTGAGGTGGGCCGACTGGAGGACATTATTATTACTGCATTAAAGATGCTCACGTCTGGTACAGCGATTGTTGATGATGACGTGATAATGTGACCATTTATGCAAATTATAACTACAGCAGGACAGGTTCAAACTTCCACTGGTAGAAAAAGATGAAGAATGCATTTGCAATGCACGCAAAAACGGACCGCAGATTCGTGATCAGAGCATACCAAAACCTTTTTTTTTTTAGGATCGTGAGTCAACGAACGTTGTACCACTTCTGACTCAGTAAGCCAGAACTGGTACAACGTAACTACTCCTCGCCATTACATTAGATTTGATAGACCACAAATCCTCGCAAAAGAACACCGATTCCTACCAAGGATGATTCGCGAGGCTATTGAAATTAAAAAAAAATATCCAAAATTCAATAGAGTAGATGCATGGCTGCTACTAATCTGCTTGGGATTCTTTAATTAATAAAATTAAGATACTGTAATCTTGTTAAGCGTAAATCTTGACGTTAAACACCTCAGTCCCCCTGTGACCATGGGTCGGGAATTAAAAATAAGTAAAAATATACGCGATAAAATGCGTAAAATTAGTTTTATTCAATGTTAAATTTTTTTCTAGTATAAGGGGACAAACGCACAGTCCACTTGATGGTAAGTGGATGCTGTAGCCCATAGATATTTACATTTATGCTCGATTAAGAATCAAAACGCAGATGCGTTGTGACCCCTGAGGATTAAAATGAACTACCTCGATTCCAGTAAAAAAGGTCTCCGGTCCTTTCCACTCACCATACGAAATACAGCAGTATTAAGCTGCTATTTTACGCTGGTATTCCATGAGACCGTGGTCTTTCTCCGATCGAGCCAATCTATTCTTGCTATAACCATAATATAGCTGCTGCGTATAAATTCGTGCAATTATTTTTAATTCGCGACGTTTCGGGTGCTTAACATGAGGTGGACTGATGAGTCCACCTGATGTTAAGTGGAAGCTGTGGACATTTTAATCTCGAATAAGAATCAAAATGCAGAAGCGTTGTCACCCTTGAGGACTAAGATGGAATGTCTCGATTCCAGTAAAACGGGTCTCCGGTTCTCTACACTCACCATACGAGCAGCATTAAGCTGCTATTTTAAGCCGGTATTCTGTGAGAGCGTGGTCCTACCCCGGTCGAGCCGACCCTTACCGATTCACGCTACAACCATAATATAGCTGCAGCGTGGCTCTACCACGTACACGTATTTGCAACTGAGAATTTCTTGACAGATAAACAATAACTGATTTTGACCCGACCCGGATTTCTAACTCGGGAACTCATGATTAGCAATCGCGATTACGAACACCAGACCAACGAAATAGCCGGTCTAAGTAGAGACCAAAGAGATGATTATACTGTCCTCCGTCGGAAGCCATGAGACCGCTCCGGCAATTCTCTTAGTCGACTTTAATGACCCCCGAAACGCAAGGTGAAGGATCATATGATAATAGGTTTTCATTAAGGGTATTTATCATCTAATTTAGGGTAGATGTACAATATCGATTGTCGCGTAGAAACAAGATCAAAGGTGCGTAATATTCCATTGATCGTGCATTGATCAATCCGTGCGTTAAGCATGGTGAGCATGACAACACATACAATAGGCCTGGCCCCTTATGGGCTGAAGAAGGAAGAAAGAAAAGATATTTGACACATCTTATGAACAGTTTTAAGAAAAACTTAAAAGATTATAATTTATTTTAGAACAAGGAACTCTTTTGCGCGTGAATTTTCTGCCTCGCACAACCACACTGTGGAATTTACAGTGACCAGCAATTTCTCCAGACCGATACAATTCAAAGACCTTCAAGTAATAAACCTACTCTGGTACTTGGTACTGTCCCAACCAACACATCACACCATCACTTTATCACATAACTTTCAAGATTTTCGTAATAAATCATACGTCGTTCTCACGTCTCCTGTTAGACGTGATTGCTTAGTGATAGAACGAACGCTCTCCCAAAACGCCGGCAACCTATTGCTAGTTTATCAGTGCTCTGTACACACAAAGTTATTTTTTAAAGACGTAAAAATTACAAATGATCGTAGTCAACCTAATAGGAACTTTTGGACTGCTTTTGGACTTTTGTGCTTTAGTTACTTTTGGACCGGTTAACTTACCTATACACACGTCAACTTTAGTTACTTTTGGACCGGTTAACTTACCTATACACACGTCAACTTTCCCTTTGGCAGCAGCCTCGTGGAGTGGTGTATAGCCCCAGTTATCGCGGGCCGCTGGTGGTGCCCCTGCTGTCAAGAGGGCTCTCACTACATCCGCGTGTCCGAACGAACATGCATTGTGCAAGGGCTGTAGGCCACCCTCATCGCGAGCTTGTAAAGCTGCGCCACCAGCTATCAGCAGCTCCACTACTTCTCTACGCCCATAGCCTGAAAAGCAAATCGGCAAGTTGTAACATAGGTATATTTAACAAGATTTAAATAACGATTTGTTATAATTGCACGAATTTATACGCTGCAGATATATTATGGTTATAGCAAGAATAGATTGGCTCGATCGGAGAAGGACCACGGTCTCATGGAATACCAGCGTAAAATTGCAGCTTAATACTGCTGTGTTTCATATGGTGAGTGGAAAGAACCGGAGACCTTTTTTTACTGGAATCGAGGTATTGCATATTAATTCTCAGGGGTGACAACGCATCTGCGTTTTGATTCTTAATCGAGCATAAATGTAAATATCTATGGGCCACAGCATCCACTTACCATCAGGTGGACTGTGCGTTTGTCCTCTTATACTAGAAAAAAAATTAAACATTAAATAAAACTAATTTTACGCATTTTATCGCGTATATTTTTACTTATTTTTAATTCCCGACCCATGGACACGGGGGGACTGAGGTGTTTAACGTCAAGATTTACGCAGAACAAGATTACAGTATCTTAATTTTATTAATTAAAGAATCCCAAGCAGATTAGTAGCAGCCGTGCATCTTCTCTATTGAATTTTGGATATTTTTTTTAATTTCAATAGCCTCGGCCTCGCGAATCATCCTTGGTAGGAATCGGTGTTCTTTTGCGAGGATTTGTGGTCTATCAAATCTAATGTAAGACGAGGAGTAGTTACGTTGTACCAGTTCTGGCTCACTGAGTCAGAAGTGTTACAACGTTCGTTGACTCATGATCCTAAAAAAAAGGTTTTGGCATGCTCTGATCCCGAATCTGCGGTCCGTTTTTGCGTAGGATGCATGGTTCCGGAGATGTGCAGATCAATTAACTAATATCTAATTGATATCCGGTGAGTCATTGTCTATTCTTCCTCGTCGTGTGCGTCGGCTTATCAGTGCTATTGTATTATACTTTTTTGTCCCTAACTACAACGCTAATCTGAATCATCAATAAAACACATAACCTGATTTTGTTACAATTTTTATTTACAAAATACAAAATCTTATTACTTATTATCTATAAAATAGGAGCGAAACATCTCATCCACTAAAATATCGTTGTACAATGTGTTCCCTGTAAATATACTCGTAAAACTATGCATTGAACATCCCTGAAACTTATATAGCAAATACATTAAGCAATATTCGCCACAAACTGAAGTCCACTCATTCTGAATCCTATCAACATTCCAGTTCCATCTTTTACAATTCCTTTTTAAAAACTCTAGATGATATCGTACAGGTGCTCGTCCGTATGAATCAAAATATTGACCGACGTCATTCGTATCGATATATAAAGCTACCCAATGTGACCCTGGTTTATCATCTGTATCCAAATTGCATATTATATACGTCGGCACGTGGGTGTACATGGGCAGTCTATTGGCAACATAAACATTATTTTCTAGAATGGGGTGAATCTTTTTCAGATGTTGTTGTACATCTAGTGTATCCATGATATTACTGCTATTAGTAGATTATTACAGTACCAATCTACTCAATGACTAACATAGGAATGATCAATTATAGTGATTTCTAAATATTAAATTGCATTATTTTGTGTTATACAAAACGTATTTGAGTCATCAATACACTGAACAAGAAGCGACACGAAGTAATGTTGAGATAAGCAACAAAATGTGAGATAAGCTTGTTGACGCATAAAGTTACTATCAATTCCACTGCAGAAATTCTTTAGATTAGAATTATTACTTACTGGTACTATATAAGACCAAGCAAGTGCAGTCATGGAGTTAGTGTATGGTCGTTTGACCGCAGTGGATCTATCAATACTACGTTTGTGTTACTTCAACGCATCAAAGGCCATGGATGTAAGTGTTTATTCTATTGACAAACTTACTTTTCTTTCTGTTATTATCTTACGTGTGTATGATTTAGTGTTAACAAATTATATTTAAATATTATGTGTGTATATGATTAAGCCGTGGTAGCTAAGATGGTTAGCGCAAGCTGTAAATTTCACAGTACGCGACCCGGGTTCGATCCCCGCCGGCACCAATTAAATTGTTAATTGAAATTTTAAGTGCTGATTTACCACGTGCTGAGCGGTGAAGGAAAACATCGTAAGGAAACATGCATGTCTGAGAAAATTCCGAAGGCATGTGAAGTTCACCAACACGCATTGAGGCAGCGCGGCGAACATTCCTAGTCCTAAAACCCTTTCAGAAATGAGAGGAGGCCTATGTTCAGCAGTGGACTTTAATAGGATGTAACTTTAACTGTTTTAACTTTTATGATTAAGTGTTAACAAATTGATATTAACATGATAACTGTGTTATTGCAGAAATCATTGAGCTTCGATGAAAATACCTATAAACAGTATTACTACTCGCCAAGAACAGTCATTGATAATAACACATGCGATGGTGGAAAAAGAAAATCGCAATCGATTGATCTTTTTTTGAAGCTGAATCAAAAATAAAAAAGAGGAAGCTGTTATCATCAACCGTAGCACGAGCCGCTAGAGATGGTGTATCATACATTTCTACTAATTCTGACGAAGGAGACCAAGCGATGCATCTCATCAAAATGCACGATATGAAGAATGTACGATATGAAGAAGCTATCCAAAATTCCCACTACTGATCATTGGAAACTGCTTCCACGAGGATTAAATATTATGTAAAGACTAATAAGGATAGCATCTACGACAACACAAACGCCCTCATATACAATTTACAAAGACAATAGCAGAAAGTGAAAAAGGTAAAAAATACTTTTTTAACAATGACAGTCATTAGCTGATCATTAGTGAATGTGATTCTGTTTACTTAAATTACTTCTGTGTACTCATTATATTCTATTTCTAATCCTTTGCTAGACTATAAATATCGGAAATTATTTGAAATTGGGTATCAGTTGGTCTACCAACACTGAATTATTACTTACTCTGCTACCTATTTTCTTCTTTACTATAAGGATGGAAAACTTCAATGAAGTGTGCACCAGTGCTTTCTTCTCCACAACCATGGAAGAGAATACGGAACTATTCAACAGCGAATTAAATCAGGAGTTGTCTAAAGTTTGTGATGAAATGGAGAAGGGTCAACTGTTCGATTCATCATATGATGATGAGTTGTATAATCACTGTGCGATGGTTGAAACACAGTTTAAGTAAGTAAAATAAACATATTTCCAAAAAATTAAAAATGAATAACTACGAAATTATATTGAGATTCATAGATTTATTTAAGTTTTTATCATGTAAATTAGAAGAATTGGCCAAAAATCTCAGTAATTATCAATTTCAAGAATTACGTAGAAATTAACCTAATGATGAAGATTTTTTCGTTTAAAACGGAAAGGCGTTTATCCATATGAACTTATGACTAATTATGATACGAGGGTGGATTGAAAAGTACTCGGCCTAACCAAGAAAATAAACACATACTAAATCAGTTATATTTTTATTTTTCTATATAATCACCATCAAGTTCAATACACTTTTGCCACCTCCCCTTCCAAGCATTTAGACCGTTGAAAAAAAATGATTCTTCCTTAGAGTCAAAATATGCGTCTACAGCTGCTTTGACCTCGTCGTTTGTCGAAAATCTTTGACCTCCCAAGTGCTTTTTTAGGTTAGGGAACAGAAAAAAGTCTGATGGTGCCAGATCAGGTGATTACGGCGGATGCGGTAACAGTTCAAAGCCACAGTATCCATATTAACAAAACGATTCAAAAAATCATCTGCATCGGCTTCAAATGACTCCAAACAGTCGCGTGAAATAGTCAATCGCGTCCTTTTTTGTTCAACTGAAAGCAGTCGCGGAACCCACCTCGCAGACACCTTGTGGAAACCCAAACTCGTTGACAATGATGTTTTGAGTTCGTTCATAAGAGATGCCTATAATCTCGGCTATCTCTCTAATTTTTAATCTGCGGTCTCCCATTATTAAATGAAGTACTTTTTTAATATTTTCGTCAGTAGATGACGTCGAAGGCCTTCCAGAGCGGGGTCCATCTTTCACACTCTCTCTACCACGCTTAAATTCTGCTATCCATTTTTTGACGGATGAATATGACAGAGCACAATCGCCTAATGTACTGACCATGTCATCATGGATGGCTTTTGATGATAGCCCCTTCTTATGGAGGTACTTAATGACGGCACGCTGCTCGATTTGCTCCATTCGCGGAAATTATGTCCGATTACTTTGTTAATAAATTTATAAAATCACAACTAATTATCGCACACGTTTCGAACTTCACACAATGAACTATTCTGAACTGAACTAAATAATGTGGGTAGATTTGATTTTTAGAATTGAATGGATCTGTGTTAGGCCGAGTACTTTTCAATCCACCCTCGTAGTTTAAGCCTAACATCGCTCTCTGAACAAAAAAATTTTTATCTCGCTCACAGATTCCCATATTTCAAATGATGATTACAATCATGCTAAAGATGTTTGGGAACACTTTGGGTGTTGTAATATGCTAGATTATTCAAACCTGTATTTAAAAACAGACGTTTTACTTCTATCCGATGTATTTGAAAACTTTAAAAATATATGTAATACTCATGATTTAGACCCTGCCCATTATTACACAGCACCCGGTTTAAGTTGGGATGCAATGTTAAAATATACAAAAATAGAATTAGAACTTTTAAGATTATGAGAAAATTGCATTTATTAGATCAGGTATCAGGGGTGGTGTATCTCAATGTAGTAATCGTTACGCTAAAGCTAATAACAAATACATGGGAGATTATGATGCAGGGAAACCAAATTCATATATCATATATTTTGATGCCAACAATTTATATGGTTTGGATATGTCTCAATGTCTTCCTACTGGTGGATTCGAATGGGTAAATCCGAATACAGAATTTAATGTGTCTGAGACATCGGACTTCGGTTTTATTTTAGAAGTTGATTTGGAATATCCAGATGAACTTCATGATTTACATTCCGACTTTTCTTTATGTCCAGAAAACATTTGTGTAGGCAATATTAATGAGAA